TCCACTCCACTCCACTCCACTCCACTCCACTCCACTCCACTCCACTCACTTTGGTAGGCTTTAATAACCTAAACATCTCTGTGCTTTTCCTTGCTATAAAGACTTTGAGTAGTATTTTCATTTCCTATTCCTTTTGTTTGTTCACTTTGCATTTTATTGTTGGTTTTTCACTGAACGTTTAAAAAAAGGTAAACGAATGCTTTGATGCTGAATAATATTCTCATATTAATTTCTTAGCGTATTTTAGAAGTGTCGGGAACCCTCATCTGGATGCTGTGGAAGAGACTGTTTTGGTTCTCCAAGCGGATAGGGATCAAGACGTTTCATTTTTTGCCACCATCAAACCAAAACTCAGTAACATGCATATCACGTTACTTGAAAAGCAAAATTAACATTTTTTTGTGCATGTAGTCTATGAAATTACTATTCAGCTAACAAGTTCCTGCTATGACTACTAACCGACATGGTAGAAGAGGACTCTTATCAAGGAAATAATGCAATTCGCAAGAAAAGGCCATGTTCTTAATCCTGTTTATTAAAGTGAGAAACATGTTTGTCCTTTTATGTACATGCCACCTTGATATGGAATATTTGGTTTTTTAAATTTTTTAATATAATTATGTTCTTTCATGAATACGAGGAGTAATGCTTGTCTATCAAACATCCAGCTATATGTTCATATGGTTATGTGAGCTTGTGCATATTTGCAGCTCAAACATCATTCCACAAACTAAGAATGCCTTTCACGCTGACTCAAGTTACAGTGACAAACCAGGACAATACTTGGTTTGACTAAAATTAAGAGCATTGTTGGTGAACCTAAAACACGTGGGCCTCTTGCTTATTTTGTTCTTAATTGAACCACGGGCATCCCCATTATATTGTATTACATTATTTAAAGCATGAAAATGTGCTCTTTGGTAAAGAGTTCAGAAAACAAATCTGTAACTTGAAAAAAGATAAAGTAAAAGTGCAGATTAATGTTCTCTTTAAGGTGATGGCAGACAGTTTCATGATCGTTAGCAGAGTGTGGGAAATTAAATGAACTATTCTTTGTCCTTCCTATTCACCTGTTATCTTTGGCCGGTGCTGGTCTGTCTTGTGATGAGAACTGCTGTTTTTAAACAGCTACATCTGAAGAAATCCTTACATATTTTCTAGGGTATATTTCATTGGAGACGGTTTGATGCTTGGGTCTATAAACCGCAGGAATAGGACTGACATGTTTTGGGGAGTTTCTCAACATTTGCTCAGTAGAAGGAAATTAACATTTTCTCTTAGAAAGAAGCTAGGGATATGAGTTAGCATAAGTTTGAAGTTCCAAGAATTGAGTGTGTATACTGGGAATATTCTTTTTTTCCCCAAGATTGACAGAAAATTCAGTATGAAATATTTTATCTAGCAATCTGTATAGCCCTTGGATTTTGCAGAACTCCCCTAAATGTGTATTCCATCATCAGCTATGTCTGAAGATTGAGAGACCTTCTGAAACAGCTTTCCACTTAGTATGGGAGGATCTCCACTTAGAGGGCAAATGGCCCTTAGACCAACCTTGATCCCTGAGCTTCTTCCTGAAGCTATAGAATAAAATAATAGTTTTTCTTAATTGCTTTGGACAAGATAAAAATGGGAAAAAAAATATAAATCAGAAAAGGAAAGGGAAAGAGGTAGATCAATGTTTCTCTTGATTTTACATTGTTAAAATACAGTAATACAAGAGATTTGGAAAAACAATGAAACTTTGATCTATGAAGTGTTTCCCAACCTTGGCAACTTTCAGATATGTGGACTAGCTGGCTGGGGAATTCTGGGAATTGAAGTCCACATATTTAAAGTTACCAAGGTTGAAAAACCATGGTCTAGTGAGAGCTGCTGGACATAGCCTTCCCACCTTAAAGATTATACTGTGAGTCCCCTAGCTCTAGATAGATACGAACATTTAACTTATACAAAGAATTTACTATATATACTAGTGTAAGAACTAACCCCCCATCCCCCATCCCCAAAACAACCCCCTCTTACAGCATGATTTGTTTGGCAGAACGAAAATGTATGTGACATAGGCACCTCCTAGGAATCATTCACGGAAATAAATGATCATTGCTTGAGTTAATGGTTTTTTAGTTACGGAACAATATTCTTAAAATGTTTTTAAATTGTGTATTGAAATAGACAAGGTTTTTAATCCCAAAAATCTATAAGAAAGATTTTAATTTTGGGATAAACATAGTGGAATCACTTTAGAAAATCTGTAAAATATGCTTTGTTGCAAGCCTGATTATTTAGCTAATATCTTAAATGTCCTTGTTACAAATAAGTAGCTGTCCTGTGTATTGTCTGTTTGTGTCTTTTTTTAAAAAAAAAATACAATGATTTAATTTATTAGAATTGTTTAACACATTTTGGACACAATGCTATGAAAGATTGTGTTCCAGGTTGCGAAACAGTTTTTAGATTTTATAATAATCTTATTTACTTTGCAAGTTTCTAAAATGTTTTTTGAACATCTAAAAATATGTCTTTGGTATTTCAGTATAAAAATGTGTAAACTAAATTCTGCAAGCTGATTCTATATTTAAGTGTTTGAGTAAGTTTTAAACAAAATGCCTCTTCAATGCAAATGATTTTTTAATGTCTGCAGTTACTCTGCAGTGACAGTTCTTTTGTAGTTTCACTATCTTTTTCTAACGCTAGTATCCTACAAATATTTTAATACCGGTAGTTAAGATTTTTCTAAAAAATTGTTCAATTTTTGCTTCTGTAAAAAGTTCATTTTTTTCATCACCATGTTTTTGAATGCATGTAGAAATGTCTGAAAAGAACTGTATATATAATCTGCTGTTTAGACATTAAAACAGTTGTTTGATGGCCATCTTAATTTTAGATTAGAATTATTTCCCGCACTATCCAACTAAATATCAAAAATCTGCGTGGAGAACGTTGATGTAGTTTTCATGAAAATACTTTAATTGGCATTATTTATGCATGAGTAAATGGCTGAAAATTTTCACTGAAATGACAAATCAAACTTTTCGTTAATAATTACCACCTTTTCCTAGATCTGAGGATTTTTAAAAATTAAACAATTTTCTTTTTGTTAAAAAATTTTGTAGAATGTTTTCAAACTCTATAGTTGCATGCAGTAGAGGAAGGAAAAATTCTGGACACTCCCAACTTGCTTTGGTTCCCCATATATTTTTGCATTCAGTTTATTATTTAGCTTTGGGTTAAATAATTGCACCAACACCATTCATTTCACAATGGCTGTTAGACCCACTTATATATCAGCCCTGGGATCTGTGCAGTACGGTAGTCTTATGAACTGTTTTACCTGTAATAAAAACTGCATGACAGAGTGATGGTACCTTACAGGTTACTCTGTAGGTGAAAAAACACCAATGGACACTTGAGGAGGATAGTCACATGCTCTTTTTCAAATAACGTAAACGTAATTAAACCTCACAGTTAAAGCTGATACATAGTCACCTCTTCTTACAGAAGCTGCATAGATTTCATTTTGAAATCAAACCTGGTGTTGCCTGTTGCAACATAGTTACAACTCTTTAGTTGCAATTCTGCTTTAGTAGTTAAACCTGTCAAGAATGGTGGTTAGAATCCAAATAGTCGGATAGAGTCTGAATGTGCCACTGATTTTGTAAGAATCTATGTAACTTTCTATTCTTATTTATATCAATAAATTCCACCACTGTTTTATCAAACTCTTATTTATTGAATGTACTCTTATTACTGCATATTCTTTTCGAACATCATTTGGCATGCAAGCAGCACAGCATTAATCAGCATCGCATATCATTTATTTATGATGATAAACATAAATATCCCACATTTATTACTTTTTAATAAATGGCTCAACATGGCAAACATGTCCAATACAGGTAGTCCTCAACTTACGACCACAATTGAGCCCAAAATTTCTGTTGCTAAATGAGAAATTTGTTAAGCGAGTTTTACCCTATTTTATGACTTTTCTCACCACGTTTATTAAGTGAATCACTGCGGTACTTAACTTAGTAACCCGGTTGTTAAGTGAATCTGGCTTCCCCGTTGACTTTGCTTGCCAGAAGGTTCAGTAAAGGGGATGATATGACTCGGGGACACTGCAACCGTCATAAATGTGAGAGAGTTCTCAAGCATCCAGAGGTAACTCACGCGGCCATGGGGATGCTGCAAGTGTAAAAAATGGTCATGTCACTTTTTTCAGTGCTGGCGTAACTTCGAACAGTCCCTAAATGAACTGTTGTAAATCGAGGACTGCCTGTACTCTTGCCTCCTATTTTCTCCCTAACAACAACCCTGTGAGGTGGGTTGGGCTGACAGAAGAGGGACTGACCCAGAGTCAGCTGGCTTTCACAGCTAAAATGGGACTATAACTCATTTCTAACTAGATCCCTTAACCACTAGAGTCCCAGTGTTTCTCAACCTGGGAAGCTTGAAGATGGGTGGACTTCAACTCCCAGAATCCCCCAGCCAGCAGCGCTGGCTGCGGGATTCTGAGAGTTGAAGTCCACCCATCTTCAAGCTACCAAGGTTGAGAAACACTGCACTAGACCAAACTGGCTAATTACTATAGGGTTCTGCATGAATGAGGAAAGCTGACTTGATCTTGATTCTTTGGAGACTCTTATAATATTGGGATTATTTTGAATTGTATATTTGTTTTACCTGTGCTTGCTGTAAGAAGTTTGACCCCTCAGTTGGCATTTTCCAAATGTGTGTCCTAGCTGCATCATGACATCACATTGGCTACGTCCTAGTGACTTGCCTGGCAGGCATTGTTCTTCGGTCATGACATCATTGGTTCAGGTGGAAAGTGTCAATGGGGATTCTCAGGTGGAAAGACACCAGCGCGCCACCTTCTTCCTAGGATGCAAAGCAAAAGAAAACCGACACCTGGCACAAATCCCCAAACCAGAGCTGGAACAAGTTCACGTACATTATGGCAACGACAGTTGCGTTTAGGAGAGCTTTTATCCCCGCAGTCACGGCTTTTCAATATCAAGTTACAAATAGTTGAATCTGAAGAATATTTTTCGTTACCCGAATGTCATCGGGATTTAAGTATCGGAAAACTGAAGAATCGACTTGAGCTTTTTGTTGGGATCCCAGTGAATTTCCAGCGAATTCAATATCTGGATGAAGGTGAGCCCTGCTGTCTATGTGGCAGCTTATGTCCCACTTAGCCACAATGTCATAGTCCTCCGTGTAATGTAAAATTACTGGCTGAGCCAGGAATTTTTTTTTCCTGAATATTGGACAGTTTCAAGGGTTATTAGTCAAAAGGGTCTCCAGAGTAAATAATAAAAATATATGGTTATAATATGTAGCTATATTACATCATAGAAGACTTAAGTTTGGATATACTTAAATAAAAAACTTGTACAGTACATAGGTACTCCCAAATTCTGTGCTAATGAAATCTGTGTTCATTGTTAAGTCCATCAAGTCATTTAATTTAGACAGAAATGTGTATCTTCTAGTTCAGGGATCTTCAACCTTGTCGACTTTTAAGACTTGTGGACTTCAACTCCCTAGGAGTTGAAGTTCACAAATCTTAAAGTCGCCAAGGTTGGAGACCCCTGTTCTAGTTGATTAGTCAATCACTCAGGGCAGCTCATTACCTAGTTGAATAATGAAATGTTTGCAAGCAAGCAACCAAGCTCAGAGAGCACCAAGGACTCTCTAGCTCATAGAAATTGTTTTTTTTAAAAACACAATATTATTGGCGTGTAGTGTTTTAAACCTACCCGGAAGATACTACTACTACTTTCAGTTTGCTTCAGTGATGGTATTCAGCCAATTCTATCAGGTTCGGGCGAACTGGTAGCGGCGGCTATGGGAGGCTCCGCCCACCCACCGCTACCAGTTCAGGAGAACTGGTGGCGACTGCAGTGGGCTCCGCCCCCCTGCCTGGATGTTATCATGTCCCGTTTTTGATGCTCTGCACATACGCAGAAGATGCACACTCACATTTGCTAACCGGTAGTGAAGGTAAGTGAATACCACCCCTGGTTTGCTTCTATAGCAGATCTTGAGGATGAGTCTACATTGAGGAAACATGAAATCGTCCCTGGAGGAACTCTCACTATGCGAATTTGGCCAGAAGATTCTTGGGGACAATTGGTGGCTGCAGCTGCAAGTGGAAAGGTCAAGAAGGTTAGTCTGAAAGTTTTACAAGTACCTCGTGCTGTTCTGTAGAAACCACGACGAGTGCTTTTTGAAGGGCTGCCTTTGAGGCAAGGAATATTTCAGTGGTAAAAGACGAGAAACAGCGAAATTTGAGCATAATGCCAAAAAAAAACCCTGCTAGAATAATGGTTCTCAAGCTGTGGTCTGTGGACCCCTAGGGAGGCCACGATGTTGTCACGGGGTCTGTGGAGGATTGAAGAAATGTTATGATTTAAATCTTGAATTAAGTCTTGGGGGGTCCGTGGCCACAAAAGCTATTTAAAGGGGGTCCACGGTAAAGAAAAGGTTGAGAACCACTGCGCTAGAGAATTCCTGGAAGATGACAAATTGATCATCAATAGACACACAGACACAAACAACACCTACTTACCATTCAAAAGAGACAATCAAGAGTCAAAATGGGAACAAAGACCAAAGGACCTCACCACCAGCAATCAACACCCAGATGGAAATAGATTAACACCAAGATTAACATCAGACCCACAATCAAGAAGTACAACAATATCCCAATAATTTGCTTTCAGAAATCTTGGTTAATTGTGGTTCTGAACACTCACACTTAAATAACAGACTCAATTGAAACATATCAAAATTCAAAACTGAGGTGTTAAAAGGAATTTTACCTGAATAGTTCCTCACAGAGTCTAGATCAGGGGTCTCCAACCTTGGCAACTTTAAGGCTTGTGGACTTCAACTCCCAGAATTCCTCAGCCAGCTGGCTGAGGAATTCTGGGAGTTGAAGGTCCACAAGCCTTAAAGTTGCCAAGGTTGGAGACCCCTGATCTAGACATCCCTGGCTACTTCAAGATTTTGAGGCACACTACAAATCGAAACAAAAGGCACCAAAACAAAGTAAAGTTATCTGAATAATAATTCAGAAAATAAATCGGGATTAGATATGGTGAGTCCTCGACTTGCAATTCATTCAGTGACCATTCGAAGTTATATCAGCAATGAAAATGTGACTTATGACCATTTTTCACACTTTTGCATCCCCATGGTCACATCGAAATTCAGATGCTTGGCAACTGACTCAGGGATGGGTTCTACTTTCCTTTACTACTAGTTCACAACAGGATCACGCACACGTGATAGCTTCGCTCGCTCGCGGCCTGCTTCTGTGCATGCGCAGATCAGCAATGACAACATCTGGGGCGGTGGGCGGGGCTTCTTGCGAACCGGTCTGAACTGGGGGCAACCCACCACTGAACTGACTCATATTTATGGTGGTAGCAGTGTCCAAGGGTCATGTGATCGCCTTTCATAACCTGACAAGCAAAGACAATGGGGAAGCCAGATTCACTTAACAACCGTGTTACTAACAGCTTGCACTTCACTTAAGAACTGTGACAAGAAAGTGTCAAGTGCTGAGGAAATCAGGGGATTCAGGCAGTTCGATTATGTTTCCTTTGCCTGCTTCTCCATACCGAGCCTTTAACATTTGCTTCTTTATTGCCAGTTGCAAACCGTAGGAGTTACACAGACCTCCTCGTTCAGCACTGCAAATTCGAGGCTAATGACGGAAGAAAAGAGGAATGACTGGTTAGCGCACCGAGCATTCGTGGCTTTATTTATTACAGCTCACAGAGGCCACACGAGGGCAGTGGAATATTTGCTCCAAAATGGTAGCGTACTAAGTTCTGAAACTGATTTTTTTCCCCCACACAGGTAGTCCTCGAATTACAATCATTTGTTTAGTGGCCGAAGATACAACGGCACTGAACAAAAGAGACTTATGATGGCCATTTTTCACACTTACCACCATTGCCGTATCCCCGTGGTCACGTAATCAAAATTCAGAAGCTTGGCAACTGGCTGATCTTTATTTATTTATTTATTTTTAAATTTGTATACCGCCCTTCTCCCTGAGGACTCAGGGCGGTGAACAGCCAAGTAAAAACATAAACTACAAACATTAAAATACAATTAAAAAGATATATATAAATTTGGCCCCATGATTAAAAATAATAACAGACAATTAAAAACATTTTAAAAAGTGTTAGGCCAGTCCGGCTTGCTGGAAAAAGAAAAAGAAGGTTTTTAGGGCATGGCGGAAAGCACCGAGGTCTTGGACAGTTGCCGGGTCCCCGGGCCGTGTGGATCACCTTTGGCGATCTTCTGACGAGCAAAGTCAAAGGGGAAGCCAGATTCGTTTTACAACCAGGTGAAACTAACTTAACAATTGCAGTGATTCACTTAACAACAGTGGCAAGAAAGGTTGTAAAATGGAGCAAAATGGTCTCATTTGGCAATGGAAATGCTGGGCTCAATTGTGGCCATAAGTCAAGGACCAGTGGTGAAATTCAATTTTTTTTACTACCAGTTCTGTGGGCGTGGCTTGGGTGTGGTGTGGTTTGGTGGGCGTGGCAGGGGAAGGATACTGCAAAATCTCCATTTCTACCTCACTCTTGGGGGAAGGATATTGCAAAATCTCCATTCCCACCCCACTCTGGGGCCAACCAGAGGTGGTATTTGCCAGTTCTCCGAACTGCTCAAAATTTCCGCTACCGGTTCTCCGGAACCTGCCAGAACCTGCTGGATTTTACCTCTGTCAAGAACCACTTATAATATTGAGGACTACCTATCATTTAGTAATAATTCTGCTAAGTTAAAATTAAAATAGCTTAAGCCTAGAGAGGTCACTTCTATTCAATACTGGGCTGAGGGGAAAATGTCTCTTTTTATTTTTTATTTTTTACTGATTTCTGTTTTCAAGCTTCCAAGACCGGCATCTTCAAAAATTTCTGTGTCCCCCCCAAAAAAAGCTTTGGAACTTTCCTTTCTCAAATCAACCCCTCCTCCATGCTGGCCATATTGGCAAATCTGCCTCCAGCTGATCCAGCTTCTCTTCCATGAGCCCAGAACTGCCCGACTTCCAACATCAGATGATGCGCAGAGCGATAAGGAACAGGCTGATGTAGATAAACCCATTTTGTGCGAACGATGACATGGGCAACTTAAATCTCTGCTTAAGAGGAAAGAACAACTCAGGCTAGAACATAGAATAACAGAGTTGGAAGGGAGCTTGGAGGTCTTCTAGTCCAGCCTCCTTGTCGAGCAGGAGACCCTATAACAGGGGTGTCAAATTCAATTTCATTGAGGGTCATGTCAGGGCTGTGGTTGACCTCGGGGGGCCAGGCGGGCGTGGCTGACTGGGTGGGTATGGCCAACTTGATGCCACTCACTGGATGTGGCTGACTGGATGGGCATGGTCAACTGGGTGGGCGTGGCCATCTTGATGCCACTCCCCAAACTGCTGGCACGTTTCCTCTTCGCTCTGGGTAGACCGGGCCGAGGCTGGCCCGATGTTTCCTCTTCACATTGAGTAAACTGGGCTGAAGCTGCATTGGATAGACCGGGCTGAAGCGATGCAAGCTGGCCCCATACATTTTCCAGGCTGGCCCTGCACACCGGATCCGACATATCATGGGTCAAATCTGGCCCGCGGGCCTTGTGTTTAACAACCCTGCCCTATACCATTTCAGACAAATCTGTTAAAAGCCTCCAGCTTTTAGAAATGAGCATGAGAAATGTGGATAACAGAGGATAAAAGAGATTCTATCTCTGACTGCGTTTTATGCAAAGCAAATGTAAAACCAGGAGTGAAATTCAGCAGGTTCTGACAGGTTCTGGAGAACCGGTAGCGGAAATTTTGAGTAGTTTGGATCTCTTCCCTTTTTAAATATGTAAATTTTAATCTGTTTTTAAATTATTGGGGTATTTTAATTTGTCTGGGCCAATTAATTTAATTTGATTTTATCGGGTTTTTAAATTTTGTGTATTTATGTATTTTATTGTTGGCTGTTCACCGCCCTGAGTACTTCGGGAGTAGGGCGGTATACAAATCAAACAAACAAACAAACAAACAAACAAACTGGCAAATACCACCTTTGGCTGCCCCGAAAGTGGGGTGGGAATGAAGATTTTGCAATATCCTTCCCCCAGGAGTGGGGAGGGAATGGGGATTTTGTAGTATGTGTAGTCCGCCAGCAGCCTGCGGAGCTGGCAGCGGAGTCGGACAGTGAGGAGGCTGGGAAGGACAATGGGCCAGTCCTAGAGGCTGGGGAAGGCCTGGACGAGGGCTCTGCGTCGGAGGCAGAGATGGGGTCAGGGCCATCTGGGAGCGATGTGCGGACTCCGGAGCCTCCAGAGGCGGACAGCAGAGAGGCAGGGGAACAGGAGGAGCCTGTTTCTGGTGCATGCATGTGAAGAGCTGCCAGAAGCCAAGAGCATCTGAAGAAAAAAGGACAACTCAGGAGTAAGGCCAGAAGATGATTGGCCACTCCCATAAGGCTTAACAGAGCAGCAACGAGCCATTGGGTTCTTTGTAGAAAAGCAACATTGATTCCCATGCTTCTTGTCAGCGTCTCTTGAACTTTGTGGGGTTTTTGCCAAGAAAAGCCTTTGGCAGGTTGCCAAAGACATCAAAGGTTAGTGATAAGGCCGAGGAACTAATTATTAAGAATTTTGTTTTGGACTAAGCAGAGAATGAATTAATTCTCAGCTGTTTTAATAAAATAAGTTTGTTGAGGACTGAATTGTGTTTGGTAATCACTACTTGGGCCTTGGTCACAACACAGTATCTTTCCCCTGGAGTGGGGTGAGAATGGAGATTTTGCAGTATCCTTCCCCTGCCACACCCACCAAGCCATACCATACCACCAAGACATGCCCACAGAACTGGTAGTAAAAAAAATTTGAATTCCACCATTGTTAAACCCAGTCTTATTGAATCCCAGATATACCATATGTTTTGGAGTATAAGAAGCACCTTTTCCCCATAAAAGGGGGTGAAAATTTAGGTGCATCTTATACACCAAATGTAGCCCTGCTCACCCATTGGCCCCTACCCTTTGGTCTCTGCCTCGCAGCAATTACCTCCTTGCAAGCAAACAGCAAGATAAAACAGCTCCTTTCAGCTTCAGCACAGCCTAATTAGCACAGGTTGATTGGATCGGCCTCCCAACTCTCAGCTGATTTCCTCTCAGCTGTTTTGCGCAGGGCTGCTTGCTGCAAAGAGGTAAATTTCTGGAGCAGGTTTTTTTTTCCCTTGTGCTAATCAAGCTATGCTGAAAATGAAAACGAAAGTAAAAGAGGCTGTTTGCTGTTTGCTGCAACGAGGCAAAATTGCTCAGAGGCACAGGCAGAGGGAGATTTCTTTTTCTTCTTTTCCTCACCAAAAAAGGTAGGAGCGTCTTATACTCCGGTGCGTCTTATACTCCGAAAAATACGGTATGTCTTTTATTCCTTTCCAGGTGCTGATGTGAAACTTAAAACCCCTCTGGGTAGAACAGCCCTCCACGTTGCTGTCACTTCGGGCCAGGTTGAATGTATCAGTATCCTCCTTGACTCTGGAGCCAGGGTCAGCGATGAGGACAATGAAGGGCACAATGCTGTACAACTGGCCCGGCTGTGGAAACAGAGAGAGAGCGAAAGGAGGCTTTTCCGGCACAGGTGGATGATCCGAACAGTTAGAAGCAGCCAACACCAAAACATCAAATAGAAGCTGGAAGTCAACGCAGATTTTTTTAAAAAATTGCACAACTGATGTAGGGATTAAGAACACTTTCCATGTGAATTTTCCTTCAGAAATGTATGCTGTATTGAAATACAAGACTTCATTTCTCCACAGAGGTTGTACCCAACTGTAAATGAGATAGTTATAGCAATGATAGAAAGTCTTAAAATTCCTCCATGGTTACTAGTGTAAGGCATGTGCTCCTCAGGATTGAGCTACAGTGTTTGGGGGAAATCTTGCTACTTCCATCCTGTTATCCCAGCAACCATCAGACACTTATGGAATAGATGAGGCTGGTAGAAGAGCCTAAAGTCATCCAGAGAGCTTTCATGACTGAGGTGAGCTAGAACTAAGGTTACCACGGTTCTAGATCAACCCCTTAACCTCCATACCATACTACGTCTCTTATCTCCCCTGATGTAGTTCCACTATTATATCTAGAAGGTACCTGACTGTATTAAACTGTGTATAATGTGTTGGGTCAATCTTATTCAAGTTTGTGTTCAGATCACCAAGTTAGAACACCTATAGGAGTTCCTATAGAGGTCTAGTAGTTCCTGTTTACATTACAAGATCGCTGGATTGAAGAAATCTCAATTAAATGGTTTGACACCTTAATGCTCCACACTAAATGCTTAGTTCAATTAAAAATTATCTTGAGAAAGTAGATCTTCATCTGTTTTTTTTGCCATCACAGTTCTTTTTTCTCTTGGCTCTTACGAATAATATGTGTTGCAACTGCAGATCAATTTGGGAAAAGGAGATTTTTCAAATGTCAGGATTTGCAAGTGGGAATACATGATGCCCTCCCAATGTTTCAATTTCACACTTATACGTCTGTAGCTCTGTTTCCTGTATCAGGAACGTAACATTTTTTAAAATCAAGGCACCAGACCTAGGATTTGTGTTTATTATGAAGAGTATGAATTTTCATCCTGTGAAGAAAACCACAGCTAGTTTTACTCACAATAAGTGTAATATCAATCCATCTATAAGTAAACCTATGTAACTGAGCTGGGATGTATTTTTCTCAGTGAATGCATATGCTGTAAATTTTTCTTGCTTTCGTTGGAAGTGAAATAAGCTAACTGTCTGCACATTTGCCACCTGAGCAAAAGTATTTAATAGTTTACTTTTGGGTAGAAATTTACGCTTTCTTGTTTGAAATGGTTTGTTATGCATTTCAATCAGTGTTGGGTTCCTCCAGGTTCGGCCGAGCTGGTAGCGGTGACGATATGATGTCACCGAACTGGGTCTGCCCCCCCCCCCCCCCGAGACTTTGTCAGGTTCCAGGTAAAGACTGGAAAAATAAACCTCAGCACACAAAAGCAGTAACCAAGTTTGTTTATCCTGATATTGGTACTGACTGGCCACCTTAAAGTGTTAGAGACAGAAATCTTTGTTGGAGCTGACACTCCATGCTCCCCATCACCTTTAAAGCAGCATACAGCTCCACCCCAGTGCAATCACTCAATTATCCAATTAACCCGTATCCTCCCTCTCCCTCCCCAATCCATCACAAGCTGCTTCAGTTGTTCGGCATTGCTCCATCTTTCCTTAAAGTGATAGATGGTGATAAACTACTTCAGTGCATGACCCTGACGTCATCTAGCATGCGGCTGGGAAGTCGAAGTGAGAGGCATGCCTCGGGGCTGACGACCCAGGACATCAGGCACACAGCAAGGGTCGTCGGCGAAAGTGTGCAGCAACGGAATGGCGATCCCCACACAAATGGCGGCCCCAAGTACCGTTGCAGAGCTGGGGCTGACACAGTTGTTAAGTGAGTTGTGCCCCATTTTATGACCTTTTTTGGCCATAGTTGTTAAGCAAATCATGGCAGTTATTCAGTGAATCATGCAGCTGTTAAGCGAATCTGGTTTCCCCATTGACTTTGCTTGTAGGAAGCCAGCTGGAAAGGTTACAAATGGTGATCACATGACCCCGGGACAGTGCAACTGTTATAAGTACATGCCAGTTGCCAACCACCTGAATTTTGATCACATGACCAATAGGGATGCTGCAATGGTTGTAAGTATGAAAACTGGGCATAAATCACTTTGGTTCAGTGTTGTTGTAATTTCGAATGATCACTTCGAAGGTCTCCCTGTAGTACAGAGGAATGGAGAGGTAATATTTTCAAATTTTTTGGTACAAAACTGTAACTGAATAAGCAGGTGTATTTATTATTAACTATATCTCCATTCTTCTATGGAGCAAAAGGCAGATAAAGGATCTTTAAATATTTCCCCCCCAGCTCTGCTAGGCCAGCTATGTTTCAACAAAGTTATTACATTCCAAACCATCCATATTGTGTCTTGAATTATTACTGAATTGTTCACCCTGGTTCTTTATGGCCTCAGCTAACCACTAAATCAGAGGTCCTTCCACCCCTAATTTTAAACTATATCACTACCGAAGACAAATCTCCTTTTTTTTGAGTATCTCTTCCTGCTTGAGCAATCAGACTGTCATTCTATCAGTGTCCACCAGAGGGCGCGCAAAGACTGGACATCAATCCATAAACATGGGCTTTTGAGAGAGCAGGAAAACCTTCAAAATTGGACAGAAGCAGGTTTGGCTGAAGAAATGACAATGGCACCGAAACAAATGAATCCCGGTTGTGTTCTGGGTTTTAGCTACCACTGGATGGTTGTAATTACGGGGCAAGGCAGGAAATAAGGAAGAGCTCTTCGGCTACCACGATCTTGTCTCCTGCTTTGTAAAATGCTCAGGTATATCTCTACATTCATATGTACTATTTTGTAAGCCCCAACTGCAAAAACGTCCATATGCCTTCTGTGATTTGTACAGCCTGTTTTCTTCCTTTAAAAAAACAAAAAAAACAAAAAAGAAACCACACATCCACCCACCCAAAAATACTGCTTTCTAATTGTGGTAGTTTGCAACATGTTCCTGACAGATGTCGGAGTTATTATCGAAACATTTATTGCTTATTGAATATTTTGCAGATTGAGGAAAAGGAAGTCACTTTTTTTTTAAAAAAAAATTGTCTAGACTGTTGGTGTTGGGGAGGGGTGAAACTAAAACAAGGTGAAGAATTTGGGTCTCCTTTCAGACAGGGGAACGTTCACTTGTCCCGTTTGAGGAGAACAAAGTAGCCCATTGAGAAGGAGAAGAGAAGTTTGTCTCAAAGACTCTAACAACAGTTTTTCCTCATTCCTGACAACTTTAAGATGCTTGGACTTCAACTCCCAGAATTCCCCAGTGGGAGAATTCTGGGAATTGAAGTCCACGCATCTTAAAAGTTGCCAAGGTTGAGAAATACAGCTCTACAATTGTCAGTTTGGCTCCGTAGAAGAGTTTAGTTTCTTATCTATGGAGGTTTTTTTCATTTACTAAGGAAAACAGTTTTATCTAGGAATGAGCAGAAGCCCTGAATTTTATCTTTCCGAAAAGTGGGAAGCCTCCTTTGTGCATACTTTGGACAATGCCTTGCGGGTGGCTGATATCTCAGCATCTTAGATGCTATGGTTGAATGGCTGTAACGTACTCCTGCTTTGTTTCATGAAGACATCTTTAAGTCAAAACCGGTTCCTTGAAAATCAGACACTTTTTCTTTGCTGGGTTTTTTCTCATCCTCTGAAGAACTCAAGAGTGCCTGCTGCTGCTGCTTTCTGACTGCTGCTAGGTCCAACGAAGTTATTTTCAAATGTGGATTTTGAAGGGTGCCATCATCACTGCAGTAAAGTACACAACACTGAAAGATAGCAAAATATTTATTTTAAACGATCAGGGGCCTGCCCTTAGACAAGTGCGTATTTAAGAAGTAAGGAAAAAAGGAAAAGCAAGGAATTAATATGAATAAGGGAAGTTAGGAACATGTACACAACATATATTTACCGCTTTTCTGCCTGCATACGACCATTTTAAATGTGCAAACGGATCTTAAAACTATACAGCGACACTTGTAGCTGTCATTTATTGTCACAACACAAATTATGTGCAAATGCTCAAGTGTTTTTTTTTTTTTTTTTTGGATGAAGTAGCTTAATGTGTAATTTTGGTATTCTCTTTTTAAAGCTGTTATTTGGTGTTATTTTTGTTATTACCTAAATTCCTGAGAAGAGACTGTCAAGGTTTGGGCATTTATTCTGTTGCAGCTCCTTGTTCTTCTAAGAGGCCACTGATCTTCAAGATATTATTTCTGGACTTTTTTGTTTATTTGGACAAGTGGGGGAGGCAGCCATAAGGTTAGAAACAGGGGTAAAATCCAGCAGGTTCTGACAGGTTCTGGAGAATCCAAATTTTTTTATTACCGGTTCTGTAGTAAATTTTGAGTAGTATAGAGACCTGGCAAATATCAACTCTGGCTGGCCCCAGAGTGGGATGGGAATGGAGATTTTGTAATATCCTTCCCCCAGGAATGGGGAAGTAATGGGGATTTTGCAATATCCTTCCCCCAGGAATGGGGATTTTGCAATAACCTTCCCCCAGGAATGGGGAGGGAATGGGGATTTTGCAATATCCTTACCCCAGGAGTGAGGTGGGAATGGAGATTTTGCAGTATCCTTCCCCTGTCACGCCCACCAAGCCACACCACGCCCACAGAACCGGTAATAAAAAAATTTGGATTTCACCCCTGGTTGGAAGTACATCTACTGTTTGAACTTTATGTGCTTTGCCAGTACGGCAGCAACTCTTCTCCCTTAACAGCCTGGGGCACACTTATTCCCCCCACCCCAAGTTTTTAATTTTTTAATTTTTTTACAAACATATCGATGCGTAAGCAGTGTGGCACCTGGGTGTCATACATTCTAATGCAAATAAAACTAGTAGAATTAATCATAGTTATTGCATTCAATCAACTTATATATTTCTAATAATAATACACATTTATATTAAGTTGCAGTCTGTCATTATTCAATTATTCCATGTTTTCTCGTTATAGCTTTTATTTTATTATATAGAAGTGTATACAGTAATATTCCCCCGTTCTCTTATTTCTATCTCTTATTCTAACTTTGAATCATGTCACCTTTTATTAAAAGGTGTTTTCTTTCTGTCCTACCTAACTTCTAGTCATGCCACCTACCTAAAGAGGCACACTTATTAAGAGGGAAGAAAACTTAACACAGTCTCCCTTCCTCTCTCTCCTAGCACACACACACCTTGGCCACCATTAGCATCCCGACCAGGCACTGTTTAATCCAGGGATCCCCAACCCCCAGTCCTTGGACCGGTATTGGGCTGCTGTATCCCAGAAACCGGGCCGCACAGACAAGAAAGTCCCATCCATAGGATGCAGGCAGCACATGAAATCATGCCCCCTCCAGGCGGTGGAAAAACCTCTCTCCATGGAACCCGTCCCTGGTGCCAAAAAAAAAAAGGTTGTAGGCCACTGGTTTAATCAGTTGCCTTCAAGATTATTTTGGGGGTGGTGGTCTCCTCCTGAGAGTGACACATTGTATAGTGTCTCTTTGTAGGTGGACACTTCATGACGGGTTGTTATGAAGCAGAGGAAGATGTTCTGACCCGGCTCCCAAATACGACAAACCCTCTGTAGTTAAATCAATGATTCCTTTATTAGGAGCGCCAGCAGCCTCTCTCTCTCACACAGCAGGCTAACAAGTTTGTCTGGCAGGGAGATGAATAGTTGTCTGTCACATCTATTCATCTCCACCCCCTGCCTTTTATCCCCAGAGCTAGGGTGGGGCTTCGCTAGCAGCGGTGGTTCTTCCTTCCCGAGGATCGGCCCACGGATTTCCCCTGCTCTCCTCTCCTCTGCCTTCTATGCATCCGCGCATCAGGCACTGGACCCAACTGTTTCTCCTCTTCCTCATCAACCACCTCCAGACCTGGGGGCTGTTGACTCTCCATCTGAGAGTTGATGGATAGCCCAGGCTCTACCTCTGTCTGTCTCTATTGCAGCTCCAGTGGTGGGTTGCCCCTGGTTCAGACCGGTTCGGAAGAACCAGTAGTTAAACCGGCGGGAGGCTCCACCCAACGCCCTGGATGTCGTCATAGGTGATCTGCGCATGCGCGATCCCGTTGCGAACTGGTAGTAAAGGTAAGTAGAACCCACCCCTGAACAGCTCCATTCCCTCTTCCCCCTCGGAGCTCTCAGGTTGCCTTGATGCTGGCCCTGACTCCCACACCGCCTCTTCATCTGATTCAGCTGCTGGAGGGGCCGGCGGCTGACAGTCCATAACAGAAGGTCTGGAAGGCAACTGATGAGTTAATGGCCTTAATGCCACATTATCATCCCTGGATCGGTCTCACTGGCTGACAGGTGTTTTATTCCCTTCTTCTCAGTTTTACTGCTGAAATTATCAGAGCGAATTTTATGGCAAGAGCCTTCAAACTCCCTTTAGATACCGGTTTGCGGAATCTATCACTTGTTTTAGCAGATAGTGTGAAACCAAACTGGATCATACGCTCTTGATTTGTTCAGCGTGGTGAGAACACAAGAATTGTGTATCTAAACCTACTTTCGGTGTGATGTGTGAGCCAGATCTTTGGATTCTTTGGAGGACTGGACGAGTCAAATCCATGCCCCACCTCCAGCCACTCCTCATCTATTACTTGTGTCCTGTAAATATGCAGCAGCCAAAGAAGCTAATACAATCCTTGGTTGTATAAACAGAGACATAGAATCAAAATCACATGAAGTATTAATATCCCTTTATAAGCCTTGGTGAGGCCAAACCTGGAATACTGCATCCAGTTTTGGTCACCACATTGCACAAAAGATGTTCAGCCTTTGGTAAAAAGTGCAAAGAAGAGGAACTAAGATCATTAAAGGCCTGGAGACAAAAACATATGAAGAATGGTTGCAGGATTTGGGTTTGGCTAGTCTAGAGAAACAAGGGACTAAGGGGGACATGATAGCAATATTTATGTATGTATGTATGTATGCATGTATGTATGTATTGGTTCGATTTATATGCCGCCCTTCTCCGGAGACTCAGGGTGGCTTACAATGCATTAAGCAATAGTCTTCATACTTTTGTATATACCTGCTTAGTAGGGCTTTCGGCCCCCCCTAAGCGGTGTTCTTTTTTTATACAAAGTCAGTTTATTTAGAACTTGATATAAAATCAAGTCAATACAGCATGGAGAAGTCAGCAACTGTTCTTTGGGCTATCAGTCACATTACACTTCGAGGTTATCCTATCATTCCCTTCTGAAGATAGTTTTGGCAGCAAATAAGGAAAAAAAGAGGAGCCATCTTGCCCCAATGGGATTGGCCCAGAGGTGGAATTCAGCCGGTTTGGACTGGTTCGAGCGAACTAGTAGCTCCGACGATCAGCTGGCCCTGCCCACCGGTCCCCGCCTTATCTTGTCCTTTATTTCCTGCTTTCTAGCTCATCTCAATCGCACGGCACAGCTGATTTCTCCCCCTCACTGTTCTACTTACCATTGCTGACTTGGAAGGTAAGCAGCTGAGCTTCTGAATGCTCCATTTTCAGCGCGAAGTGTGCACTCACCGAATCCGTTGTTAAACCAGCAGCATTCCACCACTGGATTGGCCCATCATTCTCCAACAAAAGAGGCTGTCTGCCAAAGAATTTTGTCTGATGGAATCTAGGAGAAGAGCCTTTTTCTGCTGTGGTCCCTGCCCATTGGAATATTTTCCTGTTGGAGGTGTGGTCAGCCCCCACATTTCTGGCCTTCTGGAAGGGCCTTAACTCCTGGCTCTGCCAGCTGATCTGGGGCTCCTGTAGGGGCACTCGCTGCTGGGGGTGGTTGAAGGAGTAGGGAGAAGATCGACACCCCTGGGTTGCTTGTCCTCTTGGTTTTTTAATCTTTATTCAATCTTTCTTAATGTTTAACTGTTTTGTATAATCTCTTTATTATCCTATAAGCTGCCCAGAGCCACTGTTTGCTCTTGAAAGGGGTGACATATAAATTTAATAAATGAAAATAAAATAAAAAGTGGAAGAAATGGCAAGAAAGAAAAGAAAGAGAAAGAAAGGAAAGAAAGAAAGAAGGAGGGAGGGAGGGAGGGAGGGAGGAAGGAAGGAAGGAAGGAAGGAAGGAAGGAAGGAAGGAAGGGAGGGAATTCTTAGTACATTCCATAGGTGCCTCCAAGCTCTTAGAATTTTGCTGAAAAAAACAAGACTTTTATGAAAATAGCTTTCAGTACGGTAAATTAGGAAGTACAGAAGAAGCAATAGTGAAATGGTGACAAACGAAAGGTGATACCTCAAAGATCAGCAATGTTTTTTTCCTCTCAAGCATTATTGTGTACTCTTATATAACTGAACTCTTGTGAGCTGATAGGTCTTCTTTTTGCACAATAGAAAAATTTCATAATGTCTAGGTTCCGGGGACCCACTCACAGCATTTAACAAAGGTATACTTCTGGCTGATTGTTGCAATGCCCCTTGATGACTTCTGTAGGAGCATCCCAAGGTGAGTAATGGTTAGTTATGATTTTGGGGGCTTCTGTTCGTCACTTCTGATTAGCTTTTCATGTCTACTTCCGGATGGATGGAGGGAGAGAAAGAGAAAGGAATGTTACGTCTGAATTTCAGGTTGCGTCGAGTTAATTTGTGAGTAATAAACAGGATAAATAAATCAGATGTGTGTGGATTCAGGTGCTGAGACCCGAAGAGCATTTAAAAGCAGGCATAGTGACCTTGAGCAAGATGCAATTTCAAAATTGACTGAAATGTGCTGAGGATACAAAACAGAATCGCAAGGTTGGGTTGGAAAGGAGGAGGCTACGGAAAAGAGCGAACATCCTGAAATAAT